TTAGATATGTTGATATGGAATAACCCTGTCATCACCAGAAAATAATCTAACCTTGAACATGTCCTCAGTTTGTCATAATAAAAAGCTGCATTTAACTGAGTACTTAAGCCAGTACAGAAAACAACTATTTAAGAAATTAATTCATCTATCACCACTGGATAGTGTAAAGTCAAAATATAAACAATAAGCTTTGTACTTCTGACGATAGTAGAGATATATTACAATATAATCATTGCTGAAAATATTAGGGGCAACAATGAAAATTCTAGGCAACATGGCTACCAAGATGTTTTGAGCCCTGAGTTATTCTAATCCCCCTTTAAAGTCGTTTCGGCCAGTAGCCATAACCACACCTTGTAGCAATGAATAACACATTGTGTGGGAAAGGACTCTTGTTCATCTTGAATATACTGCTAAGAAGTTTCATTTGGTGAAAGTTCCAGTATCGTGAAACAGGGTGAAAATCCTTCCTTTGTAATGCTTCATCCACACTATTCATAATTTTATAAATCTCTATAATGTCTCTCCTCTGTCACCTTTTTTCTAAACTAAAAAACCCAAATATCTTAGCCTTTCCTCATACAGAAGCTGATACCTTTGGTTGCCTTTTCTACATCATTTCCATTCATACAATATCCTTTTTAAGATAGGGAAATTAAGAGTTCTACATAGTATTTCAAATGCAGCTTTGCTGATTTATATCAGTATTTATCAATATTTTGACACTAGTAGTTTAATTTTCAAATGCTTTCTTAATAATGCCTAAGTCACTGCAACTGCATAATGTTATGTTTCCACAGAAGTAGCCACCACAATGGCAAAATCTTCAGCGTATAAATGGTTAGGATTTTATGCACCAATGTGTATCATTTTGCACTTTGAATCTCATTTGCCATTGTATTTTTCTCATTCACCCAGTTTGAAAAGATCCTTTTGGCATTCTTTAGAGCTGCATTTAAATGTCATCAACCCTCCATTCTTTGGGCCTCTCTTTGTTCCATCTTAGATGCATGAGCAACTCATTTCTGCCATATACATGGAAACCATGAAACATAGTTTGGGACCACTTGTAGTACAAAAGATGTGAGATGGCAGAAGAGAGCATAGGAGTGGAGGCAACCAGTTCATTGCTTGACAGAGTTCAGACTTACTGTGTCCTCTTTCCTCCACAGTGGTGCTGGACCCATTAAGATGGTCTGCCCCAGGCACCTGATGGATCCTGATGGGTTCCTGTTGGCACTTGGGGATTTCCCCACCTTGGTTGCTGACACTTCTGTTGAGGCTCTGATCACACTCAGGAATAGGGAGACGACCTGGGCTGTTGACACAGTCTCCCCTAAGTGCCTCTCTCCCCAAAGCCAAGATGTCTCCCTGGTTCACTGGGGAGGTGATAGCTATGAAATGGGAGGGACAACTGCTAGAGGACCAATGGCAGAATACTCTGAGTGAGACTGATAGAACACTGCATACAATCCATATTAGAACCTCATCTGAGATGATGATGGCAGAAAGACAATATTTCTCTGCCATCATTGCACCTGCATGTAATCACCTGGCTGAACTGTTTCATGTGGTTCTGGAACTTTTACATCCTGACTGTCCCACCAATCAAAAAAGCTCATCTGGTGGGCACATGAGAGTGCCTTTTCAGTGGCAGCCACACAATTATGGAACAACCTCCCCAGGAAGGTACACCTGGCTCCCTCATTGTTGATCTGCCTGTATTTACAGCCCACTGGCAAGCTCAGAAAACTCTTAACTGGCATAATAAAAGGAATGTACTATGTGCGGGTTATTGAGAATGATTGCATTTATTGTAGGAATTCTATTATTCAGTGCTATATACTTGGCTAATATTATTATGATTAAGTGCATTTCTATTCTGCTCAGATTTTCCTGTTTTTCTAAAATATCCAAATGTCAGTTTTTCTCTAAAATTTGGTTAGGTACTTCATCAATTTATTACTGAGCCCCAGAACAATGCACTGTAGCCCGAATCCAGATTTGGACATTGTTGTATACTGAGAATGATTCATCCCTGAACTACTACCTGGATCTGGTTGAGCTCGTTTCCCCCGAACAATATCTGGCTAGGATCCTGGAGTAGACCAAGAGAGTAATAGTGTTATGTAAATAGCCTATCGTTGGGAGTGGGGTGTGTTTGGGGGGTGGTGTTAGCATTTTTAAAAACAGGGCAGCTGCCCTGGAGTCTTGTCTTGTAGTGTTCCTGAAATCACCTAATAAAGTAGAGCTGTTTCACTGCAATGCATCCAGAACCCAGTATTTAACAGACATGTTAGTCTTTGCAGGTGTTAAATTCTAAGTGACCAGCTCTTTTCCGAATAGGCATTAGAGATGACGGTGAAAAGATTCCTTTCACATGCTCAGTTATTCTAGCATGACATCAAAATCCAGTTTGGGAAGCGATACCATTCAAACCATATTTAAATATTTATACGCCGTCTTTCCTATAGCTCAGGATGGCTTACAAATTCAAAATAAAAATTCAAGACGCTATAAAACCTTACATAACCCTTTCCCCCTAAAACATTTTTTACAACAGTTGTGTTCTGCCTTTCTGCTCACACAAGGGCCATCAATGCAGCTTATAAATTAAAACAAACTTCATAGAATCACATTTTAGAATCATTAAAACTAATCCAAACAACAACACATCATTAAAATCAGAACTAAAAACACGCAAAGACATAAAAATAACAAAAAATTTAAAACAATTAAAACTTTGGGCAGAAAAGAGGAATTACAGAGGGAATGCCAAACCAAACAAAAAAGTCTTCATCGTTGTCAGAAGACGGCAAGAGAAGGGGACTGACAAATCTCCACGTGGAGCGAGTTCCAGAGTTTTGGTGCCATGACCAAGGCAGCCCTCTCCGGGTTGTCACCTACCTAATCTCCGAAGATGGGGGTATCCAAAGCAGGGATTTCAAAAATGACTACAGTGATTGGGTAGGTTCGCGAAACAGTAGGCGGTCCTGCGGGTATATTGGTCCCAAACCATATAGGGTTTTAAAGGTCAACACCAGCACCTTAAAATGTGCCCAGAAACAAACTGGGAGCAAGTGTAGATGGGCCAAAACTCAAGTGATATGGTTACTATAGCCCACCCCAGTCAACATCCTGGCTGCAGCACGCTGCACCAACTGAAGTTTCCGAACACCTCTCAAGGGCAGCCCCATGTAGATTACATTGCAGTAATCTAATCTTGGTGTAACCAGGGCATGCACCACAGTGGCCAGATCCTTTCTGCCCAGGAAAGGCCACAGCTGACTAACCAGTCAAAGATGGTGAAAGGCACTCCTGCCCAGGAAAGGCCACAGCTGCCACCTACTTATCCAGCAGTAGGCCTGGGTCATGGAGAACACCCCAACTATGGGCCTGTTCCTTCAAGAGGAGTGCAACCCCTTACAGAACCCCCCAAAATGCCTTCAGCCTACACCTCAGTGGGGTCAGCACAGGGGGATGGGGGTGGGAATGATAGAGGCTTACAAAATTATGAAAGGGATAGAGGTAGTGGGTAGAATGTTTTCTTCCTCTCCTAAAATACTAGAACTCAGAGGAAACCAGTGTAGTTGATGGGCATGGCACAGGACAAACAAAGGACAATCTTAATATGATTAAATTGTGGAATTCACTGCAATTAGATGTAGTGATGGTCACTAATGCTGATGGCTTTAAAAGGGGATTAGACAGATTAATGGATGTTGGTTCATCAGTGGCTACTAGAATGGTGACTAAAGGGAATCTCTACATTCAGAGGCAGTAAACCTCTGAATACCAGTGCCAGGAGGCAACATGAGGGGAAGGCCTTGGCCTCTATGCCCTATTGCTGTCCCTCCAAGGGAACTGTTGGCCTCTGTGTGAAACCGAATGTTGGACTAAATGGACCACTGGTTTGATCAGCCATACTTTATTTATTTTCTAATAGCCTTAGAAAATACAGCAACCTTGCCGCACCTCCTAAATACCTCTACAGCAGTGATAATCAGTGGCTCAAGAACCACATGTGGCATTTTGACATGCCACCTGTGACTCTTCTGAGCACTGTTCACCTACATGGTACCTGCTCCACGTTTCAGGAAAGTGGCCAAGGCTTGTCCAGTGGTGCTTATGGTTGTCAGGTGGCACCCACCTTGGAACATCATCTGGTATCGAGATGCTCTAGAGACAGCACCTCATCCATCTCCACAGGGAGCCCTTTCCATACAATGGGAGGTATGATGTGAATGGCACAGGATCTAGTTGATGCCAGGCAGGCTACCTTTAGTGTGGGATCAGCTGGCAAATGGGGACAGATGGGAAGAGATGAATGTATAACGCGCGCACATATGTAGAGACCACACACAGGAAATGAAAAGCTGTAATAAGATGAGAAATATCTGACCGGGTGTTTCAATACATTTAATTTCATTTTTAGAATAGTCATTGAGAACTTGAATCAGTATGGAAGCCCTGGAGATTAAGCCCTTTCCCCATGCACACATTGTTTCCTGGATATTATTCCTTTCCCACCACACTCTCAGGCGGCTGTCAGCCCAGTTAGAAAAAAAGACAGGCCAACTCTCAAGGCTAACAGATTTCCGGTCAGACTGCAATTTCTATGAGGGAAACAGATCCAGCTGGTCTGAAGAAGTACAACAAATTTAGAGCCTTAAAGGTGCCACTGGACTCTAAATTTGTTGTATGAGGGAAACAGTGAGGCAGAAAAGGCTAGCCACACAGTGGCCCACATTCAAACAGGAAAATTCCCACAGCTGTTCTTAAATGAACTTAAAGATATCGGGTGATCCAGTTAAGTCATACTTCACCTTTATAAGTCCAAAGAACCCAAAATGTACGAGGTTTGTCTTTCTTTGTTTTCTTAAGAGGCTAGCATCCCTCCTGGCTGTTGCTGTTGTTCTAAGGCCAGTATTTCAAACACCACTGGTCTCAGAGAAAACTGAGATTTCATATGTGTGAGAATAGTAAAAAAAACCCCTTACCTAGTGGAGGCTGAAGCATCCCTCCATTCTTCTCACAGGTTCCAACTGGCTGTATGTCAGATGAATCAACAAGCCTCCAAAAGTCATTTTTGTTGTCACTTCCATCCAATCGTAACCTTAATCTGGCACCCGTAATTCCAATAACTGTAGCTATACATACTGAGGTAATGTTGCGAGGATCATGACCTTCCAGTTTCATACCCACTTTGAAATCATTTGTAGGTGGAATCCTAGACTACAGGAAGGAAAAAGTGAGATATTTATTAGAGTATATTCTCGGGGGCGAGGATGAACCAGCAGTATTTTTCTATGGTTGATAGAAAACTGCTTCTCGTCCTTTTATATCAAGGTAAAGTGTACATGGCTTAAAAATTTCAGGCACTCGAAACAATTGACTCTAATACTTAGCAATCTGAAAAGGTTCCCAGCCCTACACAAAATGCATCTTACAAAAAGATTTATTCAATTATATATTAGGCTAAAAGACAGCAATATACTCAGATCAACCTAGTGAACTCAATGGCCAAGCAGGGGTTTGAAACAGGGTCTGCCATGTCTAAACTCACAACGAAAGGACCTTACGTAAATATATTATTTTGTAGTGTATTGTAGTAAGGTGGCAGTTTAGTTAGAGATGGCTGTGAAAGCTTATTAGATTGGATTTTGCAACTGAAACAGGGCCCCCACCCTCTCAGACTGCTCATCTGATCAAATCACATTGCAAGAGACTCATGAGAAGCAGTCCGACCAAGTCTGAGTTTGAGAATCAGAGATGGCTCTGTAAGTCATTTCATTCTGTAAGCCTGAGTCATTTCTTTTAGCCCAGATGGGCACACTTCCAAGCTTTCAGAAATAAGACAGGCACTTATTGATGGTTCTGTAAGTTTCTGGTCTCGTTAGCCCCAGAACTGTAAATTTTGGGACTGGGAAAAGCAACCCACGCACTCCAATCTTGTTCTGGATCATTTCTCCAAGTCTAGAAGTCCATATTCTGGCCCCAGAAGCAAGCATTTGCACTCTGAAGGACTTTATCCAGACCCTTAAACCATTTAAGTGCCTGGATCGGGAATTGTTTCCCCTCAGTGCCCGCAATCTTTGTAGACACTGGGCAATGAGTGGGGGAAGAAGGGTAGACATTCCCTCTCCACACATGTTCTTCTTTCAAAGTTTTCTAACTCTGATGGAAAATCTGCAGATGAAATCCCAGGAGTAGCAAGGGATTGGGCCCTAAATGGGATGAAAATGCAGGTATCACACATGCACTTCAAATCAATGTGGAGTAGGGCTGCCAAGTCCCCCTTGGGGTGGGGATTCCCCCGCTCTAAGGGCCCCAATCCACCGGTCTGGATCCGGCCAGCAGGGGGAACCCCACCCCCAAAGGGCCAGATTGGGCCAACATGCCCGGCATGATGATGTAGCCCGGAAGTGACGTCATCACGCTGGGCACATTGCTGGGTTTTCAGGCCGATAGCCAGAGCGTCGCTTGGAGATGTGCCCAGCGTGATGATGTCACTTCCGGGCTACGTCATGTCCCAGCAAGGGACCCAAACTCCCCCACTAAACAAAGGTAAGCACTTGGCAACCCTAATGTGGAGAAGGGTTACTAATTTCATGGTGGAATGTGACTTAAACTGGTTATTTTAAAAGTCACTAAAGGCATTTATTAATCTCACCTTTAAAAAAAAATATTTTAACACAACATGTAACATATCCACCTGAGTTGTAACACAAGCCCATATTAAATGCAAACAACATAAAAAAGCTACAGTGCAAAGCTGATGCACCAAATTTAGTTTAATTTGATAAATTATTAGTACATCAAATGTTCTACCTGTCTGAAGCAATGTGAGGGAGCAGCTACGGATCCAGTCTCTTTCAAGTAGTCATCCCAGCTAAAATAATCTTTAAAAAATAGAAATAAACAAAGTTTAAACATGCCTCCTTTTAAATATGTATACAAATTCTTCAGATACTTTTATAATTCTGTGTATTTGCCTCATTGTGGGGGATGGGCAAAAATTACTCCAGAGTAAACCAAAAAAATCATTTTGGATATCCGTCAAAATATAGATAACAATGCTTTGGATTCCACATGAACGTTTTTTTAAAACAAGTGTATTCTCTTAGGATTGATCCTGCAGAACAGTAGCTCTTTCCTCAGGTGCAAGGATCTTTCCACTGACACAAGAGCCCCATGCAGGGGTCATTTCCTGCGGGAGTGCACAGGAGTGGAGCTCCGGCAGTAAGGAGCCCAAGGGGTGGGCACATGCAACAAGCCCCACCCCCTGCTCCCAGCAGCCCTCGGTCAGGCCATGAGGAGCAAGAAGCAGCCAGGTAAGTTGCAGAGCCCCCCCCCCCCGGCCCCCCCGCCGGTATAAGGCGATCCTTCCTCTGTGAGGGCAGATCTGCACGTTCCCCCCCCCCAATAGCTAGCAATCCAAAACAGTCCAGTGGAGCCTGAGCGGTGGATGTTGCCTTCTGACACACTTCTGGTGATGTCAGGGGGTGTGGCATATGCAAATAAGTTATGCTAATAAGTTATGCTAATGAGCTCCTGCACCTCTTTTTCTACGAAATTACCCCTGGCCCCATGTGTCAGCAGACGACTCCTTATGCCTGTACTGCAACTTCTGGCATTTCACTCAATGACTGCTGTATTCACCCACTTCTTCAAGCACTGCTGAATGAGTATGTTTACAAGCAATCTGTGAAGATGAACTCAAACTACCCACCCATCCACCTCATTGAGAGGGACAAACTTCTTCACCACATTCATAGATAAATTTTTTAAAGGTTTTATTCGCTTGTAAAGCTTTTAAAGGTAAAGGTTCCCTTGCTCGAAAGCTTGTTGAATCCGACTCTAGGAAGCAGTGTTCATCTGTTTCCAAGCTGAAGAGCCAGCACTGTCCAAAGACATTTCCGTGGTCATGTGGCCGGCATGACTAAACACCAAGGAGCACGAAACGCTGTTACCTTCCCACCGAAGCGGTACCTATTTATCTACTTGAAGTTTCTTGCTTCCAAACGGCTAGGTTGGCAGGAGCTGGGGCCAGAGACGGGAGTTCACTCCATCATGCAGCACTAGGGTCTCGAACTGCTGAGCTACAGACCTTCCAGTGTGCAGCTTCAGCGTCTTAACCTCTGAGCCACCGCAGCCCGATATTCGCTTTTATAATATGCCAATTTTTAAAAGCATGTTTAAGGTGAACAGTTCACATTTGTAAAACTGCACAAGGAGCAGCCCCTCCTCTAACCCTTTAGACAGCACTGAAAATAGATGCCATGCAAATGCCATGCAACCATTTCTGGAGGTGGGGAGAAGGCACAGACATGGACCCGAACCTGTTCTAACTCTTGCAACAATACACAGAGCCACATACATACACAGGCAGATACGTAACAGTATTATTGATACACACAAAGGGATGGGGCAGAAGGAGAATCCCTCTGCCTTCCTCTTCTCTCACACATGCAAACATGCTACATGTTGCCACTCTCCCACATCCCTGCTTTTCCCCTTCCCCTTCCCGTTCCAGAGGTCAAACGAGCAGCAGAAGAAGCAGCAGAAGACTTACAAGCATCTCAAGCTAAGCAGAGCTGCTAGGCAAGCAGAGTATATACAAACTGATAGCACAAATAGGATATTTTATGCATTGCTCAGTCAATGGGCATAACTTTGGACTAGGCCTATCGAGTGGGAAATGTGTTGAAAATCTCTGTTTATACTGGCAATAGCTGCACATTCTTCAGGCCTCAGTGTGAACCTGCACACTTGTCAGTGTGCATTCCTCTAATTCCAACATAAAGGTTACACGACAAAAATACAATGCTGCCACCTGGTGGCTCTTCTAGACATGTACGTGTCCTGGGATTTTTCAATAATAAGATTCGTACTGAATTCTGCAAGCATAGATCAGTATTCCAGGTTGTGAGATTCGGCCCACTTGGTTTGACCCCAAATAACTTGAATGGCCTGCTGAACACCTATGAATTGGATTTCTGTAAAAATGCTGTCAGTCCTAACAGATCAGCAGCCATTTACATCTACTTAATCCTCACAAGACAGAGATAATGCCAGCTGGGAAAGTGGAGATATCTTGAATGACGGTGTGCTTCTCACTTTCAATGGGGTTCAGCTGATCCTTGCTCACTCGCTCAAGAACCTAGGGGTTTATATTGATCCAGCATTGCTGCTGGAAAAACAAGTTAAATGTAGCTGGGGGGGGGGACCACTTTCTACCAATTCAGGCTAGCCAGGAAGATGGCCCCCTACCTTTAACTCAGCGATCTGACCACCTGGATCCATGCCATGTAAATTGCACTGTAAATTGCACTGCCATGTAGATTGCACTGTAATGTTAGGAAAAAATAC